AAGTCACACACAGACTTAAACATTCAGCACGTGAATCACAACAATGGTAACAATTCAATTTCATTTATTTTTATTAATTGTAACAATAACCATTTTATTCGCGCTTTTTGATGTGCTACTACTGACACAAGACAGCAAATAAAACTGGCAAATAAGATCAACAACTGTAAAACAAACAGTTATTTTTTAGTTACTAGAACTCTCGTGTAAGTAAACTATACTAACTAAGCATTTGTCAGTACAACATACTATTCCTATTTCACTTTACTTAGTTTTTTCAAGGCAATCGGTTTGCATGCTTTTTTTAAGTAAGCCCAACTAATTAGATTTTACAGTGTGGAGAATCACAGAAATAATGATCTAGAACTGATCAACATCCGTGAGCGCTAAACTACTAGTAATTATTGAACAGAATGCTGATTAATAAATGCATTTACATGCATTTTATCCAAAGCGACTTACAAAAGAAGAGCAAATGTTCTTAATATGCAATGCCAGATTTATTAGACAAATAGATTAGGAAGCAAGATAAAGATAAAGATTTTTTTGTTTTGCATGCAATGCAAGTTTATTTGATTTCATTCAGACAGAATTTAAAGCCAGCACATCTTTTTCCAGTTTTGCAACTTAAAAACCAGCCAAGTGCTCTGATGCATCATCATGTTTGAGTCCCAATATGCAGAACGAAGCTCTCTGAGCTGCGATGCCAGTGATTGAGGTGTGACGTCCCGCAGTGTGTTTATAAAAACACCAGCAACAGTTAGACTTCCACACAGTGACGTGAAGCGGCTCAGAGTCACGGTGGAGACAGGAAAACAACAGCACTCGCTTCCCATGAAGAGCAGTGATTGATGGGATGTTTGTTGTGTGAATGTTTAGTGTTCAGAGAGAGAATTTACACGAGAAATCACAGTTATAATGATGATCACTATCAGTATCTTTGAACTCTCTGACCTCTGCATTCTTCAGCTGCTGACTGAGTTTGTCACATAATCTGCCGTTTACCTTCAGCCTACGAAATGCATGAACTTACACTAAAGAAAGCCTTGTTTATGACCTCTATGTTGGTGATAAACGGCCTTTAATGCGTTTAAAGCGCGGTGGGAAGACGCCGATTGTTTTTCTCAGTGTGAGAGCGGATGATTTGAAGTTATTTCTGTGTGAGTTTTTCCTGATTGCACAATCTCCTGGCAGACATCATGCCACTGCACTGGGGGTGAAAGCCTGAGATTTATGGGTGAATGTTTCAAATAAAACTCTGCTTGACAGTGAGAAACCACATCACTGCACGGCTTTCATTCAGAGACCAAATAACAATAATTCACCTAAAGAAACCATGCTAAATGTAGCTTGCATTGCATTTGGATTTGTTCACAATAGCACACAGCTGCCTATGCTTGCAGTATGGATACAATATGTGCATAAAATAACAAGATGACCCGTGCATTTGACAAAATGTGCAATATAACATGCAATAAGTGACTTTTGCTTTCGTCTGCTAAATACATAAATGTAAATGTGAATAATCAGAGCCAACTGCATGGAATATTGTATCCCATAATGCAATGTGCTCAACTTGATCTTCTGTGTCTTGTGTGTGGCGAATGATACATACTCCCAAATAATAAGACATTAAACTGCAAAATGACCATTTATTTCACAGATAACTGATTATTTAGAAACCAAACACTCAAGCTATAAAGATTGTATATAGTTTGTATATATAGATTGTTTATATATTGTATGTAATTGTTTACTGCAACATCATTGATATACTATTATGATTTTTGTTAATATGTTAAATTAGGTCTTATTTTCTATTTGTTTTCATTTTAATTTTGTTAATTGTTTGTTTTATTACTTTTTTAAAAATGTGTCTATATAGATTTTAATAAGTTGTAGTTTTAGTTTATTTAGTTTTACTTACTTTAGTAACAAAAAAGGAGAAATGTAGCTGAAATAAAAAAAGAAAATGTTCATTTTAAATTTTATTTATTTTATACTTTATATAAATAAATATAAAATAAATGTCATTTATTTTATACAAATTTTATTTCTGTATAAATAAATTTATCATTTTTGATAAATTTTTGTATTTTTAATAAAAATTAAATTTTTGTAGCTTAAATAAAATTAGTATAAAATAAATGAAATTTAAAATGAAAATCATACACACACAATTAATGTATAATTTATGTATAATTAGTTTCACTCGGATATGTCACAAAATAGAAGAAAAGATCTTTCGCTGTTGTTTGTCTTCTCTAAGTAATTTTCGAGCTTAATGACCACAGATTTATTTAGAAAACTCTGTTTATTTACAAGTATTCAGAACTCAGAATTATATCTCCTTCAAAAGTTACATTTGTTTGGATGTCGTGCTCTTTCGTGGAGTCGTGACACGCGTGACCAGCCGTCTCTGTGAGCTTCTGCTCTCTGACTTTTCGTCTGTTTTCTGCTCCAGCAGGTGAAAACAGTGCATCTTAGTAAACTGATGATTGCCTGAGTAAACAGCACTGAAATGTGTAAAAGCTGAAGAAAGCAGAGAGCTGAATAAACCTCACAGGAAGACATTTGTCCTCTTTTATTCCTCCACAACAGGCTCCTGTGGTCTCTGACCCCGTGACCTTTGACACAGAGATGGAAACTTGACCCTCAACATCATCAGCTCAGGGGTCAGAGGTAGAGAGAGAGAGAGAGAGAGAGAGAGAGAGAGAGAGAGAGAGAGAGAGAGAGAGAGAGAGAGAGAGAGAGAGAGAGAGAGAGAGAGAGAGAGAGAGAGAGAGAGAGAGAGAGAGAGAGAGAGAGAGAGAGAGAGAGAGAGAGAGAGAGAGAGAGAGAGAGAGAGAGAGAGAGAGAGAGAGAGAGAGAGAGAGAGAGAGAGAGAGAGAGAGAGAGAGAGAGAGAGAGAGAGAGAGAGAGAGAGAGAGAGAGAGTGTGTGTGTGTGTGTGTGTGTAGTGTATATATATTATATTTTCCCAACAAAAAAATAAATAAATAAATAAAGATACTGACTCCAAGCTTTTGAATAATGTTACAAAATCTTTTTTTATTTCAGATAAATGCTGATTTTTGGATCTTTCTATTCATCAAAGAAAAATTGAAAAAAAATGTACTCAACTGTTTTAAATATTGATAATATTAATAATAATCAGAAATGTTTCTTGAGCAGCATATTAGAATGATTTCTGAAGATCTTGTGACACTGAAGACTGGAGTAATGATGCTGAAAATACAGCTGCGCATCACAGAAATACATTACAGTTTAACAGAGATTCACATAGAAAACAGCTGTTTCAAATAATAAAAATATTTCACAATATTACTGCTTTTGCTTTATTTCTGATCTTATCTCATTGATCTGAGCTTATGCACCTCAGTTTTTAAGTGAAAAAAGGCATTATTTGTGAATAATTTTAGCAATGTTCACTAAAAAACTGAAACTTCAATGATGCCTATGATCAATCAGTTTCTAAAAAGAAAAACAAAACCCGTGCTAACTGAAAGAAAATAAGCAATTAAAAGATTTATAAGCAAGTTTCTGAAGGCCAGTCATTTTTAACCGGTGTAACAAGGTGAGAAGAAAATCCCAAAAGAGTTCAAAAGTTATCCGTTTTTTGGGAGTTTTTAAAAAACCCTGCGCAAGAAAAAGTCAAAATGTTAAGTTGCATTTTCGGAGCCAAGAAAAAGCAGTGTGATCAGACAGATCCTACATGAAAGAATTAAATGTGCCTCATGTGAAACACTGATTATAACACAGATTTAAAAAAATAATAATAATTTAATTTAATTTAAGATTAACATTTCAGTTCATTAAAAAAATGGTCAAAATTAACTATACCGAAAAAGGGCAGAAATAAAATAGTGCAATGCAATTAAATGCAACAGTGTTTCTGTTCAGATAAAGAACATGAAAAGCAATAATATACTGATAAAGTGACATGCATCTGCTTGTGATTGGACGAGCTCCGCGGCAATCATCGACAGGGGGCGTGGCTTTGAGGTCTCTCTCTCTGTAACGCGTCTGCGACTCAGTTTGAGTGTCAGTGAGTCAGTGGCGGACAGAATCATCATCATCATCCTCACTGTAACAGCTTTACGAGCACATTTCACTCACTGGAAACCTGTGTCATTCCCAGCGAGGATCGTAAAACTGAAAGTCTGTGGGAAGTTTGTTGAACACTGTAGTCTCGTTTTGGATTTATTTGGGTCTGCGAGCTCGTGTTTGAGACTCTGTGAACTTCATCAAAGCGCGTCACAATGTGTCCCCAGAGTTTGCTGTGGCTTCTCGGTGTGCTGGGCTTCTGCGCTCGGGCGCTCGGGGCTCGTGAATGCGTACCGTGCGGTTCGGCCCGGGTTCTGGCCCGTGACCCGTGCGGCTGCTGCGAGCGGTGCTCTCGGCTGGAGCTCGAGCTGTGCGGCGGGCCTGACTGGACTCTGGGCTACTGCGGATCCGGACTCACCTGCGCGGCGCTCAACGGAACCGGACCGGCGCGCATACCTGAGACGGGTGTCTGCAGAGGTCAGTGACGGGCGTGAGCTTCAACTCGAGTTCATGACACTGAACGCATGTTTATAAAGCATGTAAGACCACCCATGACGAGGGTTGTTGGTCTTTTGCAGTGTTTGGAAATGTTTCTCTAGTTTGGCTTCTTGCGCATCGCATCGCCTCGTGATTGATTGAGGTGGTCGATTGATTCTGTACTGAGTTGGTTACTGTGACCGTACCATGGTTAAGCAATATGTACCGTGATATTGATTGTTATGTACTATAGCAAATGGTACTCCAAGAATACCATGCTAAAACCATGGTATTGCCATAGTTACTTGTCCAGAATACTTTAGTATTGCCATTGTATATGGCTGTATATAATACTGCTCCGGGTGTGTGTTCACTGCTGTGTGTGTGCACTTAGGATGGGTTAAATGCAGAGCACTAATTCCTAGTATGGATAACCATACTTGGCCACATGTCACGTCACGTATATGTCAAAAAAAAACAAAAAAACATGGTATTTGCCATAGTATGTCCGAAATACTATAGTATTGCCATGGTACATGTCCAAAAAAAAACATGGTATTTGCCATAGTATGTCCAAAATACTATAGTATGGCGATGGTACATGTCTAAAAACATGGTATTTGCCATAGTTCCTTGTTCAAAATACTATAGTATCGCCATGGTACACGTCCAGAAAACTTGGTATTTGCCATAGTATGTCCAAAATTCTGTAGTATTGCCATTATGTATGTCCAAAAAGAAGCATGGTATTTGCCATATTATGTCCGAAATACTATAGTATTGCCATTTATATATATCTAAAAACATGGTATTGCCATAGTTCCTTGTCCAAAATACTTTAGTATTGCCATTGTATATGTCCAAAAAAAAAAAAGCATAGTGTGCCATAGTATGTCCGAAATACTATAGTATTGCCATTACATATGTCGAAAAACATGGTATTGCCATAGTTACTTGTCTAAAATACTAAAAAAAATCGTGGTATTTCCATAATACCATATCCAGAAAATAATACCATGGTACTTTTGGTACTTTTTCTAGTTAGTTTACACTTATTTTGATTCCCATTTTGTTACTATGAGGTTTATAACATCCAAATTGTGAAGTAATCAAGAATAATCAAGTTATTCATAAGATTTGCTCAGTTAATGTGAATCTAGGTTTAGCATTCCAGTCTAAATTCTCATTTAGTTCATAACTCATTGATTTAATAATGACGCTGATGTAACTGCACGAGATGATTTGGCTCACGACTGACCGTAGTGTCCTGTGATTTGATTTATGATGTGATGTTAGGCTCCTGTCCAAGAGTTTAGTCAGCAAAAAGTCATAATTGCATGCTGGAGCTGGACTTTCTCCAGGTCTAAACACTTGGATTGCTCCGGACGGCTGAGCGAAAGCAGAAGTTGGTCTGTGGGAAGGTTCCGGAGCTCAATTAGCCCTCGTCTTCATCTTCCTCCTGTGGGGTCTGTGATTCATCCCAAGGGATCACGTCCTTGATTGGGTTTTATTTACTAGGCAGTGTAGGGGTTCCTTCACAAATTCATCCTTCACAAATGATCCACTTTGACAGAGTCTTAAAGGGTTAGTTCACCCAAAAATTAATATAAGCCCATAAATTACTCACCCTCAAGTCATCCTAGGTGTATATGACTATGTCCAGTCACGAGACTCACCGGCGCATGCGCAACGCCGACCTCATACGTCATTCCCCCGGAGCTGCTTCCGTGTACAACTGTTGGCACAAGCTACATTAAAGTGATTATTACGTTTTGAATATGGATATTTTTCTTACAAAAACGCATCGATTCG